GTACGTCTCTCTCTCTCTCTCTCTCTCTCTCTCTCTCTTTCTCTATGTAACTGATGGCTGCTTCTCGTTCTTTCTTCTAAGTGTATCTCTTTCTAGCCAATCCTAAAGTACCGTTGTTCTGTTATCTTATTTCTCCCTATCTGGCCAATAAATGGCTCTCTACCTCTATTGCTAAAGACCTCTCTCTCTCTCTCTCTCTCTCTCTCTTGCTCGCTCTTAAGTGTTTCTCGTTCTTGTTTATGTGCCCAAGTAACTGATAATCCGAAGTAATCCTAGTTCTGTTACCTTGTTGCTCTCTATCTGTCTCTCATTTTTATAGGCTTGTTCCCTGTTTTATATTGGCTCAAACAAACGAATTGTAGGCATGCAAATGCACTCACTCTGTTTGGATTTTTTGTGATATCTCATTATGGTTTTATGTTAGAGAAGATGCTAATGCATACTGGGTCAGTTATCTCTATCTTTATGCCTCGCTCTCTCTAATTACCATTAGTGGCACTTTCTCACCTTCTTTTGTTCCCAGCTTGTTGTTCTGCTGCCTTGTTTCATCATGGACTGACTGCTTATGTATTCACTATGCGCAACGGCCAATGTGTCCGCTTTTCTTTGATATTTTTCTGTTATCCTAATTTAGTTTCCTTTTTTGCTACTTTTCCTGATGCTTAAGTTGTATTGATGGAATCATTGTTATATCATTTGGCTTGGGCTCAGGAGCCCGAGCTGACTAACTCGGGGAGAGTCTGAATGAACTTGCCCGAGTGGTTTACCAGCTTAAAAATGGCTACAAGTAAAAAATAAAAGTATATAAAAAATAAAACAAACAATACAGAGCAAACTAAACTATAAACAACATTAAAAGCCCGAAAGATGGAAAAAAATATAAAAGATGGAATTTGGAAAATTTGATTTATAGCTGGAAACAATTCAGAAAAATCCAAAAAAGGGGGAAATTGAAAAATACAGTATTTGATAAGAAAAACTTACAAATCATCATCAAAGGCATCAAAATTGTTTATAAAGTATTTCTACATTGACTTAGTAAATAAAACAAACTGTTATTTTTATTTTTAACATATAACGAAATTTGTATTCCGAGTCTGAGCACCTCTGTAGGGTCCGAGTAACTCAGCCGAATCTGAGTCTGCTCGGCCAAGTTGTAAAACCTTGGATGGAATTATTGGTTTATTTAAATTGGCATTAGGTTAAGATTCAAGGTACTGCTTGGTACGTTATGGAGTATAAATTAAATACTTTGAGAACCAAATAGCACAATTAAGGGTAATGTAGAACTACAATTTTTACTGAGGAAGTTTAATGAGAAATATGGGTGTCAGACTATGGCTTTCCTTGAGGTCACCCATCCTAGGCACTGGTTTTGTGAAGTGATGCTTAACCACGAGAGTTCTTGTTTTGCCCAATGCGCTATTTCTTATGGACATTATTATTTGCATTGTTTTGATAGTAATATTCTAGTTAGATGCTTGTCTGACTGTTGCTTTGTCGATCCAAATGAAGCACACAATTTAGTTACCAAAAACATAGTGATAATACAAATACTCCACGACTAACTGATAATCTATTGAGACTGGGGACTAGAAATAACACAAGACTAGCCAATAGACATAATTACCTACGACTTTTAGGAGAATGACTTCTTGAAATGGAATATGAGATGCACGACATACCCATCAATATTTTACATTTGGATGGGAGCTGCATATCCTGATGAAATTATTGGAGTAACTGTAAGGATTTCTAGAAATTTGTAATGGACATCTAAAATTAATATTCAAAGTGCATAAAAAACGTGTGGGCTCCGCCCTAAAATCCTCTATAATCTGAAATACTCTATAAATGTTCTAGAAGAAAAACTAGTACATAATGGATTCAATATTCAAGAGTGCATGCAATTATGTTGACAACAATCAATGTTAAAAAAAAAGGATTCGCGTGCCTAGGCGGTTTGGGTGCTTGGCTGCCTAGGCAGGCGTCCAGGGACGGGGTGCCCTCACCAAAATCAAAAACTTCCCCCACCCCAAACATAAAAAACAGGGGAGTTCTTAGGGCATGGTTTAAAGCCTTAGGGAGTTTTTAGGGCAATTTTAGAGCCCCAAACTCTTCGTGATCATGAATAGACGAAAACATAATAGTACAACAATACAATACTACAATGAGTACAATCACATAGCATATTTACAAATGAGACAATCATACAAGTCTCAAAGAGATTGTAAGTTGTAAGACATTAAAATACTTAAATCCCAAATGTCATTGTAGGAAACTAGAACAAAAAAAAAAGAATATCAAGATACGACACATTGTGCAAAAAAAGAATAAATTATTCATAAAAGAATACGATATATGCTCAATTTCATCGTCCAAGTGAGAAAAAATCAATAAATCAGAAAAAAATCAATCTTTTAATTACAAACATGTAAATATATCATAAAGAACAAAAGTAAAAGAAAAAACACATGATTCATAATATAATATGTTGTAGGAAAAGAAAATCAAAACCCTCTTTCAAATTTGATAATAATAAAAATATCAAAATCAAATCGATGTCGGTGCAAACCTTGTCTATTAGGTCGTCAAAAGTTCTCAAAATCAACTATTACAAGCTCCAAATCCACCCACGAACTATTGCCTTTGTTTTGGGGAAAAATTGAAAAAGTAAAAAATTTATCGATCTTTCGATAAAAAATCACAGAAGAGTGGTTTTTGAGGTGTTTTTCTCATGCTAAAGGCCACGGATTTTCTATTGGGGGTTTAGAATACCCCCTAAAACCCTTTCCCCCCCTTTTTAGGGGAAAAAATTACATTTTTTACCCACACCCGAGGGTTTTTTTCCGCCGTCTGCATGTTGTCACGTGGCGGGCCTAGGCAAGCGCCCAGACAATAGCGCTTAGGCGGCTCCTTGACCACCTAGGCGGGCTCCTAGAAGCAAAACGCATAATGCCCCCACGCAGATTGTGCCTAGGCATTTTTTACGCATAGGCGGTCGAGCGGCCGAATTTTCGAACATTGACAACAATATGTGCCCAGTTATGTTGATAGTGTTGTGTGCCCTTATAGCACTACAAATAACCATGCCCCAGGGATTTTGTAACTTTTCATATTCATTCATTGAAACCGGTGTTTAAAAAATCATCGATCCTAATTGGAAATCGCGGATCCAGATCAGGAATTACCTAATAACATTATAGTTCTTGGGCTGACTCGGCGATTCACTTAGTTTTTTTAATATATATTAGTTAAAATTATAAAATATACTATATTGTATAGTTTGCTAGACATATATAATAGGCATTATCCTAAGTGTTAAAATTTAAAAGAAACGAGAGGAATCAATCCTCCATCCTCGCAGTTGTTGACTACAAGACCTAACAGATAATACAATGAAGTGTTTTCTTTTCTTGAAGTTTGTATGTTATGTATATCATTTTCTTATTTCTTTTATCTTTTTGCTTTTTTAATTTCCTGGATCGCTGATCCTACTGATCTGGATCGAGATCGATGGATGGACAATCCACCCCATCGATGCGTCATTTATAGAACTATTGAAATTGTTATATCTTCCTAACAGTGAGTCAGATTTGAGTGCTTCTTGAACTATTTTGCTTATTTAATCCCCTTATAAGTTAGTTTAAGGTATGCTCTAATTTTGGTAGGCTTTTTAAAGGGATCAAATTCTAAGGCATTTAGAGATGTTGGTTTTAGGGATTTAAGGATAGACAATGGCATTTGGGTTTGCCTCTGAGGGTATATGACTAAATTGGTTTGAGGGTAAATCTGATAGGTTGTTTACCTTGGTTTGGGTGCTATAGGTGGGTTCTGGTGTTTATACTACTGAGCGGATCAAAATTTGGGTGTCTCTAAAGTCAGGATGATGGTTTTTTCATAAGCCATAGACTGCTATGCGCATGGCAGGGAGGTCATAAACCATCATACAAAAGACTTATACATGTTAGGGATGGAGAAGGCCTATCACTAGTAGAAACAATCTTGGCCACGCGAATCAGTCATAACTTGGCCCAATAAGCCTCCATATTAGAAAAGTCCAAAACATCCTTACAAAAAATAAAAATTTTCAAGGCATTTGGTCTTTTGCTAGGGAAAATGGAGCCCTATATTGAATTTAGTGACCATCTAGGCCACATCTTGGGTCTTATTTAAAATAGGACTAGAATGATATGTATTAACTAGTTTCTGTTTCTTTAAAGAGAAACCTGTCTGCTGTGGTGTTCAATCTTGGCAAAAATTAACCCTATATTGAATGTAGTAATATCAAGGCCACCATTTGGCGAATGCTTATGTCTAAACTATTATATCATAAAAAGATATCAGATTGTAATTGGAAAAATCTACCCATTGTACGGTTCAAAGTTTATTTTCAAGGGTTTTTTTCTTCGGAGTAGTTTTTTTTAGCGCCACATCAAACCTTTTTATTTTTTAATGGAATGTATCTTGGGTCTTGATGGTGAGTATAGACGATCTATATATTTTTCCAACCAAAAAGATCTTCCAAGGCATGGTTGCATTGGTGTTTTCTTTCTTTTCATTTTTCTTTCCTTTTTTTTTTTTTTGTGGTTGGGGGATGGTGATGGTAGATCTCCTAATTTGTGGTCAGTATAGACAACTTAATGCACCCTATATAAAGTCACTTTAAGAGAGAGAGAGAGAGAGACCAAAGTCCAAGGGGGACTAGAGGGATGATTGTGAGGGACGCTCTTAGAGAGAGACACCTTCATTTTGAGAGAGAGAGAGTGAGAGAGAGGAGCCATAAAACAACGAAGTTGATAAGAAGTTAACCATTACTTAGAGAGAGCTACTGCAAGTCCAAGTAAGATAGGTGAATCAAAGGTGATCCAAAAATTTTCAGATTGGTAAAACCCTTCCAATTGTGTTTTTTTTTTTTTGTGGTAATTCTATTTATTTATTGGTGGGCTGGGTATCTTTTCCTATATATATATATATATATATATATATATATATTTAAAACTAGGTATTTCTGTCTATATCTCATATAATTGTCATATCTTAAGCACCAAGTGGTGGCTTAGATGGTTAGGGCATGCAAAAGACGTTTCAGTTTTGCCCATGATTGAAACCCAACCATTGGCGTTTCATTGAAAAATGAAAATTCCTCCACAAAGACTTGAATGGGCCGGGCCTAGCTTGGTCCAATTTACATGATCATGTTGGGTTTGGGCCTTATCTCATCCTGATAACTAATTGAGCTTGGCTTGATTAAGTGTTGGGTCAGGCCTTTGTTGAGGTCAACCCAGCTTGAGCCCAACCCTACTAGCTGCCAATTTCCAAAGTACCCAGAGTTTCCCATCTTCCATACTTGTTTATGAGTTGTCTATGTCTTTGATACTCATCTTACTTCCAATGGGCAGAAATAGTGCTGAAGAGGGGCAATCATAGACACTAAAATTTTGATGGGAAACGAATATATGGGTTCCCATATACATAATTTTTTTTGTCTTGGTATAGACAACCGTTTGGTATGATGGGAGAGTTAAGAGCGAGGCAATAACAATTTCATGGACTAGCTCCAACTGTTTTTGTTAAGCTGCAATTAATGTGTGACATTGTTGTCGGCTCACTACTAGTTATTCGATGTATATGGGGACTAACATCCTTCCTATCTTAATTAGACAACTTGGCAGTGAGCTGACAATAATGTCACACATTAATTATGGCCTAACAAGAACAATTGGTGCTAGTCTTTGACATTGTCGTCTGATTACCATGGACATGCATATGGGACCCCATAAAAAGCTCGCCCAATATTGATTAAGTAGAAGAGACGTCAAAACCTATCCATAGCATCCAAATCTACAGAAATAAGCTACCATAGGTACCCTAGTTCCAAAACAAGTCTCCCATGCCAACCTATGCGCTTGATAACCTATAAGCCAACACCTCTAGGTTTAGAATTCAATCGTTTCAAAACTCATCCAAACTTGTGTGTACCCTACGCCACCTTGCAGGGAATTCAATGAGCTTTTCAACTGTCCAAAAGGCACTCATATGGCTGTTTTACTAAACCAATTTGTAAAAGACACAAGAGTCCTTGGTCATGGCTACTTCGCCGTGTTGGTGGGGCAAATACCAGTGCAGTTCTGACTACATGTACCTTAGAGGAATTTTGACTCCATATCATGCTAGCTTTTCTCCTGAAGACTTTAGAAGATTCCAGGATGGGCCCTTTTGCTCTATGGTTCATTTTGAGTCTAGACACCCGAGCAACTACAAAACCTTACCCTATTATTCAAATTTGTGATTCTATGGAACCCTAACCGTAATGCTCTAAAAACACAAGGGGCCTCTGCATCCTATATGCAAAACTCTTGTTTTCTTCAACAAAAATATCAAAACATCAAAACGACTTTGACTGATCAAGGTTGTAGTCTCTATTGTTACAACCTTGATCAGACAAAGAACCTAAACAAATTTCTATTTGCTCTAATATAGCTTCCATGACTTTGAGGTCTAGGCCCACAGTGGCCCATGTTCATTTCTGCCATTTTCTTGTTTATTCTTGCGGTTTATGGTTGAATTAGCTTTATCTTGTGTAGATCTAGCAGTACCTTACCATTTCTTTTATTTTTAAAACCTTTCCTTTAATGTGTCTAAGACCTAGAGCAGCAAAACATATCTATTCGAGTTTGGAGTAGAATGATAAATCCAGTAAAATGATAGATCAACTCGTAGGTGACAACTCCAAAGGGACGGGATATATTTTGGCATTGTTCCAAATTGACCCTCATTCTTGAAACACCCTATTTAGGGACTGAGTATCTTTTATATCCTTCAGTCAAGTTCTATATTGGTTTGAGTCAAGAAACCTTATGGTTCTCTTGCCCAGATTTGCGTGTAACACATGTATAGGCTAATTTCTTGTTGGTTTTTTAGTACATAGAGGCAGTTGTGGGTCAGATGATTTGTGCACATAATGAATGCCTAAGCTTTGTGCAAATACCCTGTGGTTGTTGAAAGTGCAATGGCAAGTTAGGGGCCTAAATATAATATGTTATCTAATAAGGATATTTGTGAGTTGTTATTTAAATAAGGGTATATATGACCTTTAATTTTACTTAACATTGAAAAGGTTTCAAATGCTATGATCCTGTTAATAAAGTTCGCCATGTCTTTATGGATGTTACCTTCTTTGAATGCATTTCATATTTCTTCTATGTTGGAAAACAATGCTTTCTTCAGGGTGAGAACAATAGATAGGAAGCAAGCAATCCAAACGCCATTGCCCAAAATGAAGATGGAAATGCATTGGTTGCACCCAAGGAAAAGGAGTTCAAGATGTATATTGGGTGATAGCTCATCAGGCATTAAAGATTTAAAATGCTATCTGAGTAAGGTGTTTGAAAAAAGATTTTGTTCCAGTTCCCCTCAGATACTTTTTGGGTATTGAAGTGGCAATTTCTCAGAGGAAATATGCGTTGGTAGATGCTCCTATGGAAATCAATCATAGACTCCATGCCCCGATGGGAGAGTTGGTAAAGGATCCTAGTCAATATTAGAGGTTTTTGGGCAAACTTATGTATCTTAAAACTGCAAAACTAGATATATCGTATGCAGTTAGTGTAGTTAGTCAATTCATGCTTGCCCCATGAACCTTACTTAGATGTTTCCTATCTCATCCTTAAGTATCTGAAGTCATCTCTAGGGAAGGGTTTGTTGTTCACTTATCATGGCCATTGAAAACTTCAGAAATGTAGAGAGAGAAAGAAACAGAGCAAGAGAGAGAGAGAGAGAGGTTTAGAGATTGGGAGGGGATAAATCTGAGACTGAGAGATAGAAATAGAGAGTTAGGGGGAAGAGAGAGAAGGATGACTGAAAATTGGGGGGTTGGTTGAGGTGGAATGAAGGTAAGTAATGGATGGTGGGATGTGAGAATCATGAAGAGATGGACAAGGGTTTGAAGCAAAGACAAAGCCATGAAAGAGAGATGATTTACATCGGCTGTCTTTTGAGAGATGTTATAGAGAGCTCTTGCTCTGTCTTTTGAGAGAGAGCAAAATGTTATAGTGAGTTCCTGCTGTCTTTTAAGAGAGAGAGAGAGAACAAAATGTTATAGTGAGTTCCTGTTGTCTTTTAAGAGAGAGAGAGAGAGAACAAATGTTATAGTGAGTTCCTGTTGTCTTTAGAGAGAGAGAGAGAGAGAGAGAGAGACGTTAAGAGAGAGAGGGATGTTTAGATAGAAGGGGAAATAGGTGCCATTTCATGTTTTGTTTGGGTAAAAAATGTGTGGTCAAAGGGGCGTATTTGGGTCCAGGGGATTAGAAGATACAAAAGATTGAAACTTTATGTTACAAGGAAGGTTTTGAAATCTTGGGTCTCTTGAAAAATGATTTTTCAAAACAGGGTGTACGGAGAAGTTTACCCTTATTGATTATATTCTGTTGGAATTGTGATCCCGTAGTCCTTCATTGTAAAATATTTAAATGGGTTGCAATGCCTTAGATACTCTTGGGAACATCACTACTACTGGTGGATGAAGCCATGTACGTAATTTTAGTCATTTAAGCTATTGTAGGTCTTTTCATGAGAACAGTCTTTATTCATACTGATACACTAACATAATGCCCTTTAAAATAGATTGCATTGTCAGTGGTTCCGAAAACTATTTATCCAATCACCTAGCAAGACAGACTCTTATTCTGCCTAATAGGCTGTTTATATTTTTATTGTTGATACTTGATAGAACCATTTTTTATATTGTTTTCCTGGTTTACTCTTACTGGCATTGTTATTTCCCTTTAATTGCAGATTTTCGTATGGGGTTTATTAATATTCACCATATATAGTGAAGGCCCTTATCCTTCACCATAAAGAATAAACATTTATTTCCCATACATTTGTAATTATGTCTTAGTAGGGGTATTTTGGTAATTAGGAAGGGTTAATTGAAAAATGCTAAATTCAATGGCAATATGTTTTGGATTTGGCACTAAATCCTGAAACCCGTCCATAATTAATACTTTTTTTAATTTTTTGCTCGATTAAATGATCAAAATAACGTTATACCTCAACCATTTTTATTAAAAATTAGGGTAATTTAGGTTATAATATTATGGTGAAGTCTTCACCATGAATGGTTATTTTGTTTGATAGGATTTGATTAACCTTTAGTCTACAGGGTGAAGGCTCCTATCATTCACAATAATATTATGGAAAATATTACCTTTCTTTATTATTAAAATTAATGTGGTGCAATGGTATTTTGTTATTTAATATAACAAAAATTTCAGAATAGTATTATTATGCAACGGTTTCCAGATTTAGTGCCGCATTAATTATACATTAAGTGTTGGGTAACAATTCAATAGAGACGACCACATTTAAATGTTATTAAGAACCCTTTTTTATATGGAAAAAGTTTATATAAGGTGTAAGTAGAAATAATGTGCACCTCAAAAATCTATGTTGTTCGGATGTTGAAAAAGTTCATATAAGTATTGTAGAAATAATGTGCACCTCAAAACTCTATGTTGTTTCGATGTTAAAAAACCTTACAATTGATCATTTGAACTTCGAGATATATGTATATGAAAAAAGAAACAAGGATTTTAAATCATATAAATATTGCATCTTGTAACATATTATCTAGGCAGTCAATTTTCAAAAAATTTGAGTGTCTATAGGTCTGCTCGTTTTGCATAATTTTTAGAGCTTTAAATTTCATAATTAGGTGTGAAGACCACTGTTTAAGTGTTTCGGCACCCGAACTACATCTAGCAAGATTTAGGTGGGTGCCTTACTTTGATCGTTTAAGGTTGACACCTTATACAAACTTCACCCTTTCTATATTGCTGGTTGGTAATTTATTTGTTTCATCATTGAGTATAATGTTTGTGAATGTAGTGATTATCTATTGCTCTTTGAAGGCTTGAAGTTACTTGGGTTCTTATTTAACCCCCTCCAAAGAAAAAGTGACTTGGTTTCTGCAATTTTTCTGTTTTTCAGGTGTGAAACGTTTCATGTCAACTTCCAAAATGTCAAGCTCCAAAAGGGGATGTTCCAATTTAGTCGATTCCTGCATGTATCAAAGCCGAAATTTTGATAAAAATGACGAAAAAAATGACAGGAAATCAGCAAGATTTATTTTTGCTGATGTTTTCAGTGGCACCCAATTGCGTGTAACTGAAATGACAGGAAATCAGCAAGATTTCATTTTGCTGATGCTTTCAGTAGCACCCAATTGCCTGTAACTGCATTACTGCTCCCATATTGTTTTCATTTTCTATGAATGGAAAGATAATTTTAGGTTGCGGACATGGATTTTTCTTTTCTCTGATTTTTGTTGGTGGCTATTCTCTTGTTCTTGGAAGATCATGTGAAACCATATTACTGTGTTCACCCCCTTTCTCATTTTGCAAGGTTATGCTATAGGATATTACTAATGAAGTAGTGCCTTTGTCTTTCTTAATTGAAAAAGTACGTGGTAAGACTTTTTATTTTTGACACAAGGAGCTCACCAACGACTATGGCTGTTTGATGTAAAATTGAGTGGCTAAGGGTGTGTAATTGACTTAGCTCGAAGTCTAAACAGAAAATTTTTTGACTTTTGGATATGTTCGAAGTTATTGGTTTCTACATCTGATGGTTAGGAGTGATTGTGGCCATCTACATTTTTGTTTAGTAAAGCATGATAAGGTCGGGAAACACCACCTGATTCCACCATGCATGCATGCAAGAAAATGCACACACAAAACAAGAGCAACGGGAAGAAGCCCTAAGCCAAGCCAAATGAAGTGAATGCCTGTTAAGCTTACATGATCAAAGCACGCAAAGTGGACACGCTTGGCACCACTGTAGAGGATGAGAGATCTAACCAATCAACAAAAAAAGAAACTACCAGTGTCTTGATCGGGGTGCAATGGAAAATTCACCTAGGGGTGGCAATGGACTTGGATTTGGACTTACCTAGGTCCCGATCTGAATGATGTTATTATTTAAAATAATATTTAATATAAAATATTTTTATAATATTTAACTAAAGATGACTAGATAGTTTTAGTTATGGGAAAGCTTTTTATGTTGCACTTACAACATAGAAGTTATATGTTCTTTTTTATCCAACCCTCTATTTTTTAATAGAGGGTTAAGATTGTCCCAATCACAATGTCATGTCTCACACCGTTTTATTTTTAATTTTTTTCTGTAAACTGTTTTGACACCAAATTTTGGATGTCTATTTCTATGTTAAACTCGCATTAACGAAAAATATAAAAAAAAATATTTTCAATAAAATAAAATGATTAAAATACCCTTGAAAGTTACAAAAGATAATTTGGTCATTATTTTTTATCGAAAAATTATTGTTAATATTTTTTATAGGTGTGCCCCAATGAGAAGATGACATGTACCAAATTTTATATTAAAAAAAAATGTATTAAAAAAAACTAAAAATAAAATAGTTCTAGATGTCGGATCTAAGATCAAACGATGATGGCTCTCTTGATAAAAAATGGACGGCTGGATGGTAGGGGGAATATAGAACTATATTGTAGGGGGAACATAGAAAGCTTTCCTTTTAGTTATAAAAAAACCTTTTTTTGGTTATGTTAGGATGTTCAAACTGTCACTTTAGATTAATTAATCATTATATTTAACAAATTTTGGACACTTTTATACTTTTGATTTGTACATAGAGCATTTTTTTAATAAAGGTATTTTTGGTTATTCGGAGGGGTGTGGTGCCACCTACATGAAGCACTAATGACATTTAATGCTCTATGTGAGTGATATCTCATGTACGTGACTTCACACCTTTCTTAATGACCAAAACATATCTTTATTAAAAAAACTCCATGACAAAACAATGGTATCTGTGTTCAAATTTTGTTGAGTATAATGATAAATTACTCTACAGTGTAAGCATCTTAACATAACCATTTTTATGGATAACAAAAACAAACCAAATAGCTCAAAACTAGTACTCATTGCTCTTTTTATTTCTTGATATTCAACCGGCAACTCTGGAAGGTGAGAATTAGGGGGTGATAATAGGTCGTGTATCGGTCTGGCCAGACTTGGACCTAATCTAATATAGAAGTACTAGGGTTTATGTTAGGGATGCTCAGTTACGGCTGGAATAACAGGAAAAAAAAGAAGCAATGAGTAGTAGTTTCGAGCCATTTGGTTTGCTTTGTTAATGAAATTGTAACTTTTGAGGGTGAGTTTGGACAGACCAGGTGCCGTCTTGTTTACTTAATGTCAAGAGCTAAGACGTGACAGCGTTCTTTGTTGTGATTATGGTGGTGCTTGGAGCCACTATCCAAATTAAGCAGATCCAGAAATGGAGTGAATTGAACGTATTGCTGGAGTTGATTGAACATATTGCACAAGCGTTCTATAACTGGTATATTAAGAAAAGGGACTGTGTTCTATAGGGTGTATCTTTGGCACAAGATCATAATTGCCTCTATCCGTCAGATGCATTGTCCCAGAGCGTGAAGTATGTCACAAAGTTCATAATACTTCCTTTTGGATACTTAACAAAGTTCATAATACTTCCTTTTGGATACTTCACAAAGTTCATAATACTTCCTTTTGGACTTGGTAAAAGACACATCTTCATCCACCCAATTTGACATATAATGGTGATTGTGACCTCCATTTACCAAAATACATAATTTTGTACTTCAAATAATATTTATTTTTTGTCCAAACTTATCCTAGAAATATGGTTAGTGTTTTCCATGATAAGTGGAGCCTGATTAGTTCAACCATGCGCATTTTACAATGTCTTCCCCATTTTTCCCTTCAAAATCCAATGTCTAGTGACCATTTTCAATCTGTAGAGAAAAAAAAATAACAATGAAAATACTGATACAGACCACTGCCTCGCCGAAATATCAATAATGAGGCAAATAGAAAAGCTCCATTTTGGCAGTGGCAGAAAAATCAATCACCTGTAATGAAAAGAATATGAATCCCCCTCTTCAATGCCAAAGCTTTGTGCAAAATCCATTTGGTATTCCAGGCAATCTCTTGTTGCATATCCCCTCTGAAAATGTATCGACAAGCTGCCCAGCCAAACTAGGCGGATCATCGATCAAAGTATCAACAAATACACTGACTATTCTTCTCTCTTGAGGTGTTGCCTTTAAACTGAACCATGTCAAGAACTTCACTCTAAAGTCCTTTCTTATATGGCCTTCACATTCTAACCACCTGATCACTTTCACACAATATTCATAGTTTTTCTCTAGAGATCCTGGTGATCCATTAGGTGAAATCCTGTTTCCATTTGAGAAGTTGGGTTCTCTTATCCCCATCTCCTCCAACCTTCCTAAGCTTCTCTTCTTTGAGGAGCTACCAGTTTCAGGGTTATTTAAGGGGACATCTTTCACAGGCATAACAGCCCAGTTCTCACAGTTCCCTACTGGTTTTGCTCTACCACTTGCTCTAACAGTCCCCTCTTTTGTACTATCCGATTTAGAGGGAGTAACAGGTAAAACAGACTCTAAAGTTATGGCCTCTATCTCCATTCCATGAACCCCATTTGGCCCATTTTCATTGCTTGCTTCCTCTAGTAAATGGGTTCCAGTCATGGTATTGTGCTCTTTGCATTTAGGGGCTTCCATGTCCTGGTTTTCATCACAGGAGTTTGTGGAATCTCTCTGAGACTCATCCTGAACTGTTACATCTTGCACCGTTCTTCTCTCACTAGATCCATTTTCATCATCCAAAACTGAGTCTTCCTGCTCAGTAATGGCTTCTTGCATCCCGCAACATGTGGTGCCTGTGCTTGTGTTTGGTGAGCCGCTTGTTCCATTGGCCATAGGATCCAAAAGCTCACTAGAACACGGCTTTTCAAGTTTCTCACAGTGAGAATACATGTTATGGGGTGAGCTCTTATGGTCTCCAAATTCAACCTTGGACTCATACATCTCTGAAGAAGGACCGGAAAGAGTAACACTGTTTTTTTCATCATTTAAATCGAAATGTTCACCTGAATCTGAGGCCTGCTCTTCTACTCTCATTGCTGATGAGCTCTTTTTGACATCTTCAGCTTCATTCTTAGTAGAAACTTTAGCTTCCCACCTTCCCAATTCTTTTGTATTGCTGAAGGAAATGACTTTACATAGATACTCAGTGTTTGGGCTTAGGTCTGATATCACAAACCTTTTCTCTTGTTTCAACAAAACACTGGTGGGTTTTTTAGGATAGTCATTCCTTTCAGCCTCCCGATGCCATAGAGTGTAACCCATGGCTTCTTCTGATAATTTGTCCCCAGGGGCCAACACTACAGAAATTGAAGTTGAAGAGACATCTTCGAATTTGATGATACCAGGAGCCACAACAGTAGCTGAAAATGCCAAAAGAATAAAGGTTCATGAGACAAGAATCACGAGATGCTGAACTGGAAGTGCTTCCACGAATCCACGTTGGCGATCAATTGGATACTATTGGAAGCGATTAATGTCATATTTTGCCTTATTGTTTTTGGAAATAAATCATTGAAATCATGAACTGTGCCAAATGTGATTGGATTTGTTTCAAGAGTTGGCAATTAAAACAAGTGATTTCTTTCGAGAGTTGGCAATTAAAACAAGCGAAAGCAGACCATGATCCATTGGAGTGTAAAAGAACCATAGTAGGGTTATAACTGTCCTTGGAAACGTGTGTGTGTGTGTCAGAGAGAGAGAGAGAGAGAGAAATTGGGGTCCAATATACCATAACTACTCGCTTAAAATCAATTTTCAGAAAAAATGTGATTATGATCTTAGTAATGCAAGAGGAAGTCTCTATAAGGTTTTCTAAAGTTTGATGTGAAATACTTACCTTGGATCTTGGAACTCGCATCAGGGGATGGTTGTGACTCAATAGATAGCAAAGAATCAGCTAGCTCTATTGCATGAGCACACAGCTTTTGCACCTCTGCACCAGAAGAGAGCCTATTGACAATACCTCTTGCCATCTTAATGGGCACCCCATTAAGAGGCCCGACTTCAGCTTCAAGCTTCTTTGCTGCTGTATCCACAAGCGCATGGAGTTCTCTGTATTGCTCTGTTCCATTGAGAATTCTGAGGCAGAGGGAAACCCGATAACATAGTACGTCCACTCGTCTAGCCTCCTTAGAAACCACAAGTTGCTTCCTCCAACATCTACACAAAAACAGCAATACTCATTTGCAAATGGAGCTGGAACTCTGATTATGAAATTTATTTTATCATTGTGTGTAGGGTCAATATCTTATGACGATAGGAAGTTTCAGGGCCAGATTGATGAAAACCCACAACAAAGAGATGGCAGCATTATACTTCTAACGTTTCGGACATTCCCATGAGCTGAAAAACACTGAAGAATGAGTTAAACATATTTTGATTTCACTATTTGAAAACTGCATTAATTAAACCAGGTTAAGAAAACCTTGATGGGGCATTATAAAAAGAACATCAAACATCATGACATAGATTGGAACTTGCTGACAATTTGCATAGGCGTGACTCATGCATACATGCAATTATGCACATTGAGAAGGTTAAGGAGAAAAAAAAGTACCTCCACATGACCTTTATTGATATAGAGAAAGTACATGATAGGGTACCTAGAGAGTTAATTTGGTGAGTGTAGGAAATAATGGAGTTTCTAAAGGATATATGAAGATAGATAGGGAGAACTAACTAGTGTGAGGACAACTATTGGAGAAACAAATGAGATTTTGGAGACAGACGGCCTACATCAGAGGTCAATGTTGAGCCCATATCTCTTTGCTTTGATTATGGACGAGTTAACTAGACATCTAAAGGATGAGGTATCGTGGTATTGTTTACGGATGCCATAGCTTTGATTGATGATATTAGAGATGATGTCAACCATATTTGCGGGAACCTTGGGGGTAAGCCACGGTCCCACCTTAGGATCCAGATCCTGTGGTTCCTCTAGGGGTTCTTAGAAGGAGCTAGGTTTAGAGAAATAGGTATCTTGCTCCCTATAAAATGGGATCTCAGTCTACATGCTTGTGGGATCCTTTGAAGGAGAGAAACTATACTATTAATTGAACTGGTCCTCGCCTTGATGTTATAAATTTATTTCTTTAGAATATGTTCAAATTTGGTGCAAATCACATCGTGGTATACTAGAACTATGGCATTAAAAAACTGCAGGTTAATAACATAGTAAACCAATTTATGATATTATTAAAAAATGTTATTGTAGTAGTAGTACTATAGCTATAGCATTGATAATAAGCTAAGGTATATGATAATGGACTGAGCAAGCATTGGCTGGATCCTAATTTTATTATATATTGTTAATTGATCTTGTTTTATGTATAGTGGAGCTTAAATCCCTCCAAGTGAAAACCTCAATCCAAGTGACATGGAATCTCGCTTCCAAGTATGCTAAAATCTAGCTCTTTAACTTGTTGACTATATAGACATCGATCATAACCCTAAGGAGCTTCCACCCCATATGGCGGTTCTGCGTTCCCCGAACCGATCGCATTTTGAACCTTCTCTGACCTCCAGCAACTATGATGTCAATATTAAAGTTAGAACTTTGGAGGGATGCTTTAGAATCTAAATGTTTTAAAATTAACCGTACTAGGACAAAAAATATGGAGTACAAATTTAATAATAATAGGAGTAGAAACGAGGAATTAGTTAATATTGATGGCCAATAAGTGCTCCTAAAAGAGATTATTTTCGATATCTTCGGTTGATAATCCACAAGAATAGAGAGATTGAAGAATATGTCATGCATAGAGTTAGAGCTAGGTAGACTACGTAGAGATGTGCTTCTAGAGTCTTATGTGATCGGCGCAAAACAATAAAACTGAAGGGGAGGTTCTAACGGGCGGCTAGAAGACCAACTATACTTTATGGGGTAGAATGTTGGGCGGACATTAAATAGATGATAATAAGATGAGGAAGCTGAGATGAGGACGTTGAAATGGACGAGTGGCAAGACAAAAAAGGATACGAATCAAAATGAATACATCCGAGGGAACTTAAGGGTGGCTCCAGTTGGTGATAAGATGAGGGAAATTAGATTTACCAATAAGTGATAAGATGAGGGAAAGTAGACTTAGGTGGTTTGGCTATGTGCAGCATCGACTTAAAACAATAATGGTTAGAGGGAGTGATTTAGTTCCAGTGGAAGACTCTAAAAAGGTAAGGAGAAGGCTCAAATGGACATGAGTGGAAGTAGTGAGAATAGATATGGTAACCAATAGTCTGACCGAAGTTATGGCCCTCGATAGAACTGGATGGCAGGACATAATTTGTGTAGTGGACCCCAAATAGTTGGGATAAGGCTCGTACGAAGATGATAAGAATGCAAACTGCACACATATTGCTCATCTGATAAATCACTGGCTTCATTATTGATTATTCAGGTGGCCCAAATACAAATGAATGAGAAATCATGCATACTCATTAGGGTTAGGATAAGGTGAGAAAATAACAAACCAGTTGTGAGCATGAAGCGTGGCAAGAAAGGCATCGCCTTCAGTTTTGGAGGCCTAGGCATCATTAAAAGTGTATGCCTTCAGCTGGCACCAACCAATAAAAAAGTATATCGATCAATGTTTCCTTTAACCTTGATGAAAATTGATCAGATTTCGGAGAAAGAAAATTTGACTTAAGGTGAAGAATCTTACATCCACATTAATTACAATGTTTTGAGATAGTCCACCAATTTTCAAAATCTAAAGGCCACATTCAATTATCAAATTGCAACAGGTGACAAAGAAAAAGGATTAAATAAATTTGAAACATTAGGAGGCTAAGAAATATGGGTTAAGATAAAAATACCTAATTCATCAAACTATAAAGTCAGCTCTGAAAAAATTGGGATAACCAGAAATTTCTAATCCCAATATCTCCACTTCAGAAACCAAATCACTGCCATTTGAGTTGCAACATAAGGAAACAAAAAATTTAGAGATGAGCAAGGGTTTGAGCCTATTATCTCATCAAGAAACAGCAACATGCTAGCCATATATAATCAATCATAAAGATACTTATGATTGGAATATATAATAATACTTTGAGTATTATTATAATAATATGTTGGAAATAGAACAAAATAAAATGACTTATTTTGCAAAAAACGTTATGGTTAAAATTGCCAAAAATTATATGTTTTGCTTATGTTTCTAACACTTTAGTTATGACTAGGAATATATTGAACATTCTATAATTAGGGAAACATTATATACTTGCTAGTACGTAATGCGATAAAAGCATTCAAGATTAAACCAGCAGTGTAGATACACAAATACCCATGACAACTCAAGGCTATAACTCCAACTCAAGGCTATAACTCCAGGCCACTGGCCAACACTTATAATTATGCCTCAAAAGGGCTTCTAATATACAACCTCATACAAATCTTTGTGTAAGAACCTCATAACATGCAATATCCACTTAATCTAGTTGCTTCGTTACCCAAGGTTGATCAGATCCAAACTTGGTCACTCAAAGCTTGCAATTTCTATAAAGCCAAGAGCTACATTGTGGATAAGTGATTTACCAATATTATACAAAATGTTCGAGAAGGGTTGGGAGGCTGAAAATGCTCCTGATTGACAATTATGGAATCCAAACTGTATGGAGGAATAAAGGATAAAGAAGATATACAAGCCACTTGTGAAGAAATAACGTCCCCAATGAATATTCGTTAGCATCCTTCCAGACTGCAGAAACAAGATGGATAACATGCAGTCTTCTTAGTGCTGACCTAGGTCATTTAAAAAGGCTCCACAATTAGGTAAAAATCAACTATGTCTATGATGTGGCAGATATACATGAAAGATGTCTATGATTATACTGTACGTCTCTTACTTGTGAGGATGTTTTACTAATTTCGAGACATTGGATTAGTTTTGGGATTTATGCCGAAGTACATACATCAGATTAAAAACCTCAGTTGAAAATATGAAGCTTAATTGACTAATTGAATATTTATTTTTTGAAACATAAATACCTCCTGTCCCAATTTTAGCAGATGTTTCAGAAATGTGTGCACAAAAGGAATCTAGGGGTGTCAAACACCCCTAGATTCTATATATAATCATCTACCATATATATTCGCAATTCCTTCTCTATTGCAGAGGGGCACTTCAGTCCAGTCATCATAGACATAGTTCAAGGACCCAAAAATTCAACTTGAATTGATGAGCTCCAAGGATTGGATTGACCAGTACTATGACCAAATCGACTTCACCAGGTCAAGCAAAAGGGTAAAAAGTGAAAAACGAAAAAGCATGTCACAAACAGAAAAAGGAAAATTTCAATACATATCAGAGCAAGAATTGATGGACTTCAAAAAAAGTAAAAATTGATGGACTTCAAAAAAAGAAATAAAATCCAAGGTTTGGTTATTCATTATGTACTAATTTAAGGACTGAAAATTTATTTCCTAATTCATTTGTATGAAACCCAACAGAGAAAGAGAAAAAAGAAAAAACGAAACTTTCACAAGTAATTGATAATGAATAAAACAAAAACATGATTAATTGGTCCAGAGATTGAATACTCTTTCATTGTGCATTTCAAAGACTAAAAAGGTGGTCCATAATTTCCATAAGGACCTAAAAGCAACGACAAAGGATGAGATACACTTATCATTGAAGGATGCCAAATGGGAGAACCAAAAAAATGGAAAGTGTGAAACCAGCCGGGTAAGCACAAATTGCCACTACTACTCCTAGGAGAGATGGCGACAGGATTTAACAGGTATCCCTGAGGCAAAGAGGAGACATAAGGACTTAACAGGTATCCCTTGAGGCATGACGCTCTAAATTGTTTTCCAAGGTCTAAGTTTTTGATGGTGTAGAAAGAACACTCACTAGTAAAGTAACAATTTACATGGCAACCATGTTGTATGAGGTCGACCAAGGATAGTATTAAGGGGTGAAACATTGAGGTTGGTGCAGGATGCACATCACCCGGGAGTCGGAAGTGTGTACCAAGATGTCGTGGGCCCAGATCCTACAACGATGAGTCAAAAGCTAAAAGCAATGGAGTGCCTCCACCATTGGAAAAGACGTTTAATCGATCGTCTCTTACGGAGGAGATGACCAAACAAAGATGGGTGGTTGTCAAATTTGTGAGTAATGAAAATTTTCAATGACCAAGTTGGGTAAAGGAGGGACCAAGAAAAAAGCTGATCAGAGTACCTAGGAACAGGGTAGGAATCAATTAATTCCCAAAAAAATTGGCTAGAAAAGCCAGTATGCACTGATTCTCAGATTTTTTTCATTATAGGCACAGAATAGACCAACCAATGGACTGGCTTGACCTTGCAAAATTACCCTCATTTTTTCTTAAATTGTGTATTTCAGTTATATTACCCGCAAACTTTCTTCAACTAATGTTGTTTAGGCTATATTTATCTTAAAAACCTTCTAGAGCTTGACCTCATGATATTTTCAGAGGGATCAAACTTAAAAAATATGAAGAGGGTGAGTTGTAAAATTCTAAGAGCAATCATTTGTCGAGACAAGATAAGGTATATTAAATAATGTAACAAATTGACGGATGGATCTTATGATATTGTTCTCTAGGATTTGAATGTTTCTACTAGAAGATGAGTACAGCAACAAAATAAAAATTGATGGAAATGCATCATAGGTTTCGTGCATCAAAATGACATGCACCATAGTTTTTTGTACTATCAATTGCAACCAAATTATAAGCTAAGAGGCTTAAATACCTATTTCATAGAAAGCAGATGACTCAAAAGAGCACATGGTCAAACAACAAACTCCATAAGGAATTAATGGGCCATTGGGAAATGGCAAAACAATGGCTTACCAATGAAATCAGGAATCATGAATTGTACAACAGAAAACAACTATTGTCATAAATTATTTTCCGGGCTTATGGTGTTTGAATGAAATTGTCAACTATGCACCAAAATAAATTCTTAATTCATATACCAACCATTGTTTTAGGATATGAGGCGAACTGACTTAAAGCTTGTGCTTGAGGTAACTAGGTTCACCAAGCTATTGAGTCAGGAGGAACCCTACCTTATAAGACTAGCCCATCAACTTACCCATATTAAGGCTTTCGACAAAGTCTTTGTCAAGTATTGGTAGCTTAGGTTTCCAATGAGAGAGACAGAGCACTTCCTCCAAGAATCATAATAAAAAATATGCAGTATGTACCGGTAAAATGCCATAATCCTCACCAAGTCATCATAGAGAACGACAACATCTATTATTTTCCACATGATGCCCCTTAAGCACAAATACCATGGAAAAGTTTTCATCATGCTACTGTTTCCTAAGAAAAACATCCAAGTCATTTTCTAAGTATTTCAAAGCCAAAATTACCCCACACCACACCAAAGGAAACTTGGGGTCTTATATCTTGCCGATCATTCTATAAGAAAAAACCTTAAAACTCCAAAGCGCCAACACCCCCTGTTGGTAATGAATATAGATGAAGACTCAGTTTGAATTTTCATTCAAGACTATATTCTACTGATTCTAAGTCAAGCTCAGTATGATGCATAGATCAGATCTAGTGAAGTTGAACATGCAAGTGCACAGAATCTTTGAAAGTGACATGTGAAGCCAATTTACTAGAAAACATCCAAGAATGAGATGAGAGCTAAAGCTTCGTCCATCAAAGCCTTCAAGAAAACAAATTAGCAATCCACAAATTGATAAACTAAGAAGTACTGGGAATCACAAGCACATGATCTATACTTTCAAGAATCATCCCATTGCAAGAACTACAAGTCCTAATTAGGAACAAGTTCACATTTTACCAAATAATTTTGAGGAAAGGCAAAAAACGATATCAGACTAATATGTCAATAAAGTCACAGAACAAGGGTCAGGATTCACAGGGCCAGAGTCCTCCCCTATCTAAATTCCACTATTGAATTTGACTTCCACAAAGTTATATTTCCTTGGCAAATTAAATTTCTAATAATATATTTATCATGTAGATCTGATTTGACTCTAATTGTAGATTCCTGTCAAAGTTTAGGCACAACTGAGAGAGTAAGTCCTCAACACATGCTACACCACATTTCTTGAAACTCATTTAGAAGTTCATCTCATTTAGACTCTATCAAAATGAAGATCGACAAGTGCATCAAGTGTTAGATAACTCAGTGTGCTCTTCCATTAAATAAAAAAAAAATAGAAAACCAAGAATATGGTGTTGGTTTCAGCTCTTGTACAATAAGTTTACAATGTTTATGCTCTATAAATTTAATTAAAGACTAAGAAACCAAACCACAATACTCTAAATACAAAGGTATTTGTCAAATCCTATATTAATAAAACCAAAATAAAGTAAAAGATAACCCTCATACCTAGCTTGTATACAACTTGAACTTTCAACTTAGCAAGAAGTTTCTCTAGTAGTGCAATGGACATAATATAAACCATGTTCCTCAAAATTTCATTTAGAATTCTCTCCCATTCTCAAAAGGCCATCTTATCATCCTAAAGTCAAATGTGAAATTATAGTCTATGAAAAATCAAAAACAATAATAAGAAGTAGCATTTACCCAATCAGACCATTTACTTTTTTGCAAGATATGCAATAGAAGCTTCCATCCAACCACGTACACTGCCCCTTTTTCACAATGCCGGCCTCTTCATGTTTAAGAGCACATTCAAGATGGCAGGACATACCACAAGGCTCACCTTGATGAGGAGGCTCAGAGCTACAAACCAACCAAAGGCTTGGGTCCTTGTTATCATCATAAAGATAACAAATACAACAAGAGCACCTCTTGCAAAATAAGTCTCCAGTGCTTAATATAGCTCTACAAGCTAAATTTTGGCAATATACAGTATTATCAAAATCTTCTCCATTGTTGGGTTGTGAATGGCTTGTGTCAATGGCTAGCCGAGACGGGTTCTCTGTTTTCCTCTGTCTTTTCAAAGAACTCTGTGGGTTTGGGCTTGGTAATGGTGACACTGATGCATAGTTTTCCCCATCAACATTTTTTACTGATTTATTCTCAGAGACCACACGAAGAAGGTGCTCGATCATTTTGCATTTGGTTATGCCTGTGTATTTCCTCTCTTTTCCCATCTCTAAACAGAGCACCTGAAGAAGTTCTTTCCGGCTCCATGACTGTAAAATTTCAGGTGCAACTTCCGACCACTTTGAAATTTCATATACCAAGTCCCGCTTTTCTTGCATGCTTAGCTTACTGCACTGCGAAGGATCCAGCACAAAACCTGGAAAAAGGAGGGTATCTTAATTTTTCAGTACCTAAAAATAACTAAAAATAAAAACCAAAACTATATTTACTACAAATAGAATTAAAATTTTGGATTTGACCTCAATGTCCTTCTAACTCAATATAGATCTACATGTCAATCCTATGTCTCTTCCTTTTTCATAATTTCTAGAGGAGACTACAAGATGACTTACGTTAGAAATTGAAGGCAATGTTGAATGCAATATTCTGGTCACTCATCATCAAGCCAGACATAAAGAGGCCCAATGCATGATAACATTTCCAATAAATCAAGAAATTATAGGAGGATTCAAGGAATCCAAACAGGATTTTCAAAGCAGCAGAAGCCAGCAAGAGGGTGAAGCAACAAAAAGGAAGATACCCAAAGCCTTAACAACTGGTTATCTACCATTGATGAATTTGTTCAATGGTAAGCAATTCGCAGAGGGTGAAGCAACAAAAAGGAAGATACCCAAAGCCTTAACTACTGGTTATCTGCAATTCTCTTCTAGGTAAAAGAGCTGAATATGCTGCTTTCTAACCAATAAAGGCACAAAAATTTGGGACTCATCCCCTTCATTCCTTAATCAAAGGGAGAGAGAGCAGAAAGCACAAAGCACAGAGCAAACACAATCAACAATCCATCAAGCCGCAACCAACCAGTATGGAAAAAAAGAAAAAAGGGCCATCTTTCGCAAAGAACAATGTCTCTCTCTCTTTTGCGCAAAACCCATGATTCAGAAGAGACTCACACCAAAGTAACAGCAAAGTTCACAAGAGAGTACCAGCATTCAACCATGCAAAGGCACCAAAATAAAACACAAACAAAACTTAACAAAACAAATCCAATATTGCATTAAAATAGCCAATCTTCTTGCTAAAAACACACAAACCACCACAAAATCTGTATACCAGCCAGAGAGAGGCCACGCAAATCCATTGAGTTAAAAGGAACAAAAAGAGCCACCTGCAAAAGAAGAGAGAGAGAGAGAGAGAGAGAGAGAGAGAGAGAGATTTTCCATGAAAACCCGAAAAGGACCCACCTGCAAGAGAGGAGTCCATGGCTGAAAACCTCACCCCGGATCTCGGCATTACCATCGAAAGAAAACGACTCCCCTTTGCACAAAGACTTCACCGCTCCCCTTCGTCCATGGTTGAACCAATCAAGGACCAGCAGTTTAGACAGAGAGACTCATACACCAAGGACCACATATGCCCATATCCTATACATATAATCACAACCATCATCAATACACATGTGATCGCCCCCTCATACACCGCATGCACTCAATGCCTTGTTTATGAAGAGGAATACGAGGAAGAGAGAGAGAGAGAGGGGTAGAGAGAGAAAGGACTTCGCCTCGAATTCCTGCCCCAATAAAAGGGCATCCGTGATCCGACGGTAATGGCTAGGTGGGTTTTAAGATAACCAATGAAAGATAGAGAGAGAGGGACCCCTTAGGTCGTTTTATAATAGGGATTTTAGAGAGAGAGAGAGACCCATTCTGTGGCTGGCTTCTAATGGGATTTGATGGGAGATGAGAGAGAAAGCTAAAAGACAGATGAGGGGGAGAGATGAGAGATGAGAGAGTTAAGAGAGAGATAGGAGAGAGAGAATTGGATAGAGGAGATAGCATTAGAGAGAGAAAGTAAAAAACAAGAGTTAGAGAGAGAGAGAGAGAGTAAAACGGCCCAAAAGCGCCTGCATGTCATGTTCTTTTCCCCTGCCAACGTCCTTTTCTATGTTTGCACCTGCATGCTGTTATCCACATCCCATCCATGCACATGCACATGCACATGCACATGCACATGAATCATATGTTACAAATAATCATGTATCATCAGGGTCATACATTCACCTGATGCCTTATATTCATGCTTTTAACATGTACATACTTGTATTTACATGCACCCATATCAGGTCTGTTGCACATTTGTTTTTTACAAACAATTATGTCAAGGTTGTTTATATGTGCTAAATGTCCAAAAGGAAAAAAAATTAGTTAGGGTTGAGGCTACAAACAATCAAATTAAGGCACACCTCAAAAATTTTCTAGAAGAAGTTGTTTAGATGCTGAAACACCCTCAAATCTGATCCTTTTTTTTAATGTTAAAGAACGATAGATGTAAAAAATCCTGACTTGCAACACCCTCAAATCTGATCATCTGAACCTTGAGATACATGGAAGTTAAAACAAAAAGACTTACTGTATCTTGTAATGTATTAACTAGACCGTCAATTTTCAAGTGTTCATAGATCTCTTTGATCTAATTACTTTTGAAGCTTTTAAATTTTATAATTAGAGGTAAAAATAAATTTTTAGGCCATCATAAAGAATTTTGGTACTAAAAAATACATCTTTCGACACTATTTGATGGTACAGCTTACTTTGATTGTTTAGGGCCTCACCCATGTCCACACACATAAACAAACACAAACAAATGCACACACATAATGTCCATGAGAAAAATACACAAAGAGACTATTTAATTTTAATGTATATAATATGTACCTATATAAATAAATAAATAATCTTGTGAGTTTGCTAACTCTATGTGTGACCAAGTTTTTAATAATTTTTTAACCTAGAGTACATCCTAAATGATTGGTAATCTATATCTGCTCAAATCAATGAATTTAGAGCTCTCTAACGAGTGCAGATCTGATGATATTGGAAGAATTAAATGCACCACCCAAAAAGAAGGTACGGGATAAAGCTATTTTTAATGCATATAAATTACTGGTTTTATTTCCTAGACTCATGAACATGGTGATCGAGATGATGGGAGTGAACTGTTAAATTGTCTATGTACCAAAGTATATATAGGGATGCACTTGAACCATAGAACAAATGACAAAGTATATGATACAACCATTCCCTATAGTATAAGAAGATCATAATTAATTTTCCTTAGTATTTAAAACCCAGCAATTTCTGATCAGATGGGAAACGGTCAGGACCAAACTTGTTTTGGCATGATATGAGTCCCATTCAAGTTCCCTCCCAAAGTACCTTTTTTTTTTTTAGTATCTAATCTTTTTTTTAGATCTACTTAAATCCCCGCCCCATAAATCCCTATTATTTTTTTTATATATATATTTTTATTGTCAATTTAGACTAATCTAAACAAACGATATGGATCATTGATCTAGTTGTTAGATTTGTGGGTGAACGAGTCAACCCATTGATCTAGGTTTTAAAACATTGATTTTATCTGCTAAATGTGAAATAGAGCAAGTGACTGATTGGTAGAAGAAAAAACAAAAAAAAATCAATCAAAATCTGACGTATCTTTTGAATTTAAGTTTCATACATGACAAATTATAAGATAATTGTACTAAAAGTAAAGGCCATTGCATTATAGTCCTAAATATATCCGAAATTAAATATGTCCTAAATATACCAACAATTAAATATGTAACAAACAAATGGATGTACATACCATATACATGCATATGTATAATACACATATATCAATATGCATACATGCATTTGGGACTTTGTGCCACGAGCTTCACGCATATGGTTCATGGCAGGTTAGGGTCCTAACATGACCCATTATTTTTTCAATTATTCTATGCATAACATTTTGATTATTATGAGGAATAAATAAATAAACATTACCATGTGTTTACTTTATTTTATTTTATAACGACAAAACTGCCAAAGTTTCACTCCCTCTATTATGAATTGGAGACCTAGCTGGGCCCTTGATATCTTTCGATGACCAAAATACCCTTTTTCTCTTGTGCTCCCGCAGAAGAATTGCCATGCATTTACTCCCTCACTTAAAAGACCTACTTGGAAGGACTTTTTCAGTCTGAAATTTTGGAAACCATTAAAAATCACTAGATGATTACTTTCAAAAGAAAAAAAATTTGAATTTGAGTTCTTAGATACTTAGTTCTCGCCTTTCAAAAATTGGACTGTCCTTATTCAACATAGAGACATTATTTTTTCTACTTTTTTTTTTCTTTAAGTGAAGTTTGTCTATGGGTAGAATAGGTTACATTCCCAAAATTAGGGTTCTAAAACTACCCTCGTATTATGTTCTACGCAAGGGAGTAAATAGACAGTATACTCCTGCGGGGGTATAAAATCTTTTGGCTTCTCTTTTCTTTAGTGTACTAACCAACTTACCCTATCCTAGGGCTTTTAGCTTGGTTGGTGCCTTTATTTTTGGTTTGTTTATAATTGGGTCTTTATCTAAGCCAACTTTATATAACTTGGACCACCAAATTCACAATTATTGTACTTGTTTACTAATGTAAGCATTTGTTTATTAAAAATCAAAGCATAGGTAACCAAACCTCAATGCCATTGGCTAGCTCACTTGGGTCAAAGCAATACAAGTGTGTAAGGGCAGATAATTTGTGCAGTTGTAAAACACACAGTTCTTGATTCAACTTTGGATTTCCCAGTTCTTGATTCAACTTTGAATTTGTCAAGCAATCAGGAAATGGAAGTAGAGAGAGAGAGAGAGATTGGCCTTTGATTTAAAAGTCATGAATCGGCGGCCATTTACTTACCAGAGAGAGAGAGAGTCTCACACCCAGGACTAGAGAGAGAAACACCCATATTTTGGAAAACTAGAGAGAGAGAGAGTCACACCTATATTTTGGAGAGAGAGAGAGTCACCTAAATTTAAGAGAACCACATAATGTGATGATAAGTGAGACAAACTCAAAATAAATAAAAGGGAGCATCTTAATGATATGTGAGTGGGCAACACATGGATGCCTCGGAAATATCATATCACCTCACCTCAACATCCCTTCACATGCTCCCTTGCTTCATAACAAGTAGCATTCCTAAGTATTCACAAACAAATAACTTTTCATGCTTTTAAAATAATTTATTGTACACCGGATCTCTCACTATGATTCAACATAAACAAGCATGCAGCCTAAGCACAAAGCAAACCAAATGAGGAGCTCAAACTGCATAACTCCCAACAAAAGTTCTGCAAGGAATTGACACTGTGATATAACATGAACATGTGTTGGGGGCTCAACATATGGTATTGGAAAATAAGAGAAGATTTAAAATGCGGCACATTTGGAAATATTTAGACGTGGCATGATAAGATGAAAGATAGTGGACTTCGTGGACTGGCCATATGTATCGCAGATGCAGTACAACACTTGTTAAAAGGTGTAAGGCTAAAAAAGACCAAGAGGTAGGCCTGAAAGGACATGGTTGGAAGTAGCGAGAAAAGATATGGGAACTTATGACCTCACTGAAGGTATGTCTCTTAATAGAGCATAATGACAAATTAGGATTCATGTAGCCGACCCTAATTAATTGAGAATAAGTTTTGACAATAATGATGATTTGCAGTGGGGCGCATCTTAATTTTTCTAATATATTGGTTGAAAGAAGCATGGCCTTTTTATTAGGTTTCTAACTTTATTGTGAAGAAGCATGGTCTTTGACAACTTTATTCTTTGGCACTCTTTACGTGTGAGGCAATGCATGTTCATATGCTTGGAAGCTTATCCTTGAAGAAAGCAATGTCCAGTCAAATTTGGTGCACTCACATGTAAACCGTGAGAGCAGTGTTTTAAACCCCGGATCGGCTAGGTGGATTTGTGATCCAAATTGGCTGAATTGGTTAAGAGTAATTAAAAAATTAATATTAGGTGATTCCTGGGTGGGGGTTAGGGGGTGGAGAGAAGCTGAGATTGCCCACCATTGATTCCGGTCTGAGTAGATGTTTCTTAATCAGGATCGATTGGTTTAAAACACTGCAAAAGAGTGAAGAAAATAGGTCGTGTAGAATGAAACCGTTATCTTTTGCACAAAAGATCACAAACACCCCAGGTTATCTGATGTAAACTTGCACGATTGCTACAAGTTTTTTGCACTTTACGTGCGGTTAGAAGTAATAATTTTGGCCATCCAATTTCACATTTGACAACTAAGAATGATCGTTACCTTTCCTTGCCGAAGATAAACCATCTTATTTTATACTCCCCGAAATATGATTGTACCCATGAACGGAACTTTAGAACAGAGAAGAGTTATCCCTCTATAGGAGGGAGAAGTGATTGATAAGGGAGGGAGCTAAAAGTGAGAATGAACAATGTGTAGCAAATTTTTTCGGTGCATCGTGTTCTTATAAACTAGGATAACGTTTTATGGAACACAGAACAACCACTATAACGGTAACGATAATTGATGAGGCCGCCACAACAGCTACATAAACTAATTATTTCAAAGGAAAATGGTTTTGTTTAGTATTATATTGTATAAGCCAAAGTCGTTTGTATTAGGGGTCGTACATGTTACTCTGTTTTTGGTATCAGCATTGTCAAAATGTACTAGATGGTGTACCAAAAAATACATTAGATGTTTTTCAAAGCAATCATCATCATCATCAACCGTCAATAAGATCATAAATCTTAATATATTTTCTCACTACTTCTAATGTTTTTTTATGTGATCGATACCTATTAGCTTCTTGGATTCTTCAAAATCCCTTGTACCCCCTCAAA